TAGTAGCAGTGGTGGTGGTAGTAGTAGTAGGAACACCAGGAGTAAAAGTAGGGGCTTTGGGGGATCCTGGGCACCACGTTGTTCAACCAGACTCGTATCAGGCTTGTTCTGTGTTTGTTGAACCTAAAGTAGTACTTTTGAACCCTCGGCTGTCCTGTCCTTCATTTGACCAGCTGCAGCTTCTCGAGGTGAATCTTGTTGAATATTACTTGGCCTTCTTTTTTGACCAGTAAATCTAGAAATCAATTGGTCATATAATGTCAGCTGAATTGAAATTGATTTAGCGGCCCGACCAGACCGTTGGATGTAGCGAAACCAGTGAGACTAACGACCCGACCCGACCCGACTTGACCCTAAAATGGTGAACGAAATTGCTCTAAATTCGGCAGGTGGTAGTAGCTTAAAGTAGAAGTAGTAGTAGGAGTAGTAGTAGGAGTAGTAGTAGTAGTAGTAGTAGTAGTAGTAGTAGTAGCAGTCGTAGTAGTAATCATAATAGTAGTAACCCCTTGCAAGGAGTCGCGCAAGACTCTGCCGAAACCAATGGTTCCTGTCTTAAGCTGTCGGTCCTGACAATCATGCCATGCAAGGTTTTTTGGCTTGTATGAGCCCTGTGACTAACTTTCCCATGGAGACTTAGCAACAGCCACCATCTTTCAAATGTAGCACCATCCTCGATCTCCAACGAACACCCTTGCGGATAATGTTAATAATTAAGAATTAGCATTTTTCGACACCCGAAGTCCTGCATTGAACACCCCAGAGCCCTAAATGCTAAGACTATCTACAGAATGCAAACCCTCATTCACAGCATAAACCATGCCAGGGTAAGGGGCCCGGTGTCGCGGCGATCTTTCAAGAAAGCCTGGAACGAGAGGAGCGTGGAGCTTGGGTTTAGGGCTTGGAGTTGACGTTTTTTCGAACCTTGGGGGTTGCAGTTTGTTTCGGGCTTCATGGCTTTATAAGGGGCTTGCAGGGTATTCAACGCGGTTTAAGCAGTGGCTGCATGCGGCTCTCGGGGTGGTTGGTTGGGCATTCGGAATCATAGTTGGAACTGGGAATTGCAGGTTGGGGTTTTCGAGTCCAAGCTTGATGAGGGTCTCGGGTTTGGGTTTAGGGTTCAGGGTATAAGGGTTTAGGGTTAGGGACCGCTGCAGAGATCTCCGGCGCAAGACCGGATATGTGTAGCGAGGAAGCATCACGAGTTTCTGTTCGTTGACGACGGTCGTGGGCCTTCTCTAGTACCTTGGACTCTTTGGAACAGTGGAGTAAGTTGCCTTTTTCATTTGTTTTGACGGGGGCAGGGGGGGTGCTCGAATCCCTATGTCATCCCATGATGGGTGATTACACAGAGATCCTCGACGCGATTTAGGGCTATGTTACTGGATTTAAAGAGGGGCTCTGCGGCCGACACCAGGTGGGCATCACACCGTTCAGTAGTTGGAATTAGGCTGTACCTGGGGATACTAACGGCAACTATTTAGCACCATTCTCGTGAAATCCGGATTTCACCGTAAAGCTGCCGTATTTCGATTTGGAAATTGCTTTTTTGATGCAGCGAAAGCAGCCAGATTTTTGATCCATCAATCGGAAGACTGTTTTCTCGACAGGAAGGCAAACCGTATGGAACCCGAAAAATGCCGACATTATGTCGACGTTTACCAGTTTACCCGTACAAGGCCGTAATTTGATCCGACCAACGAAGGCTTATTGCGGCCACTTCTTTGCTTCTGTCCGGACGAAAGTAAAACATGGTCATCTACCGGAACGGCAACTTTTTTGCGAGGCTACTTTTTTCTGTCCTCTTGAAGCGGCTGGTTTTTGCTTGTTCTTCGGTATCCCCAGGTAGGGTTTGAGGCTTAGGGCTGGCTTTTTGCTATGATCTCCAATCCCGGAAGCCAAAAGTTCCAAAATCGACCTATCACAATAACCCCTCCTGTAACCTTTGCAGGAGAAGGACAAGAAGATCTCGTTTCCATCGTGGGCGAAGATTACTCCCGAAGCAGCACAGGCTGGCGGGTCGTGGTGGTCCTGGGTTCTAGTTAAGGAATTTATTTAGTTTAAGTTATCGTAATGGGGATTTATAGTGAATAATATGGCTTCCTGACTATGTTCATTGACATTAAATTCCTTAACAAGAACGCAGGATCGAGGCTGGGTCGTGTTCAAGGTAAGGGGCCTTGGAAAGCCTAAGCCCCGCAACCCTGCCGGTGTTCTGTCCTTCGGGGCTTCGAGCTTGGGGCGTGTAGTGGCGAGTAAGACAGGACAACAACCAGCGAAAAGCATAGCAGATAGTGCCTACCTACGATAGGATAGGCACTTGGGATCCCGTGGGTAGCACACCCCATAACGCCTCTTGCTGACCCTGGCAACCGAGCATATTTGCGTGGACAATGTCTCTACGAACCCTCAGCCAAACCCTACAACAAACCAAGCTATACTCTGAGACCGACCAGCAATTCTTGGACAAACCGTGTATGGCGGTGAGGCCCAACGTCAGGCTGAGAGGCTGCAAGAGGAGGACCCTACTGCCGCAGCCTTGTGTAAAGGATGAGGGATACCAAAAAGGGAACACGTAATTGCAAAGTCTGCTAAGTTTTATCTGTAATGGTATCCAGTTTAACTAGTATCTATACACGCCTTTTATATAGAACGTTTATTTGTTCAGGCCCCTGTTTTGAGTCTTCATGGGTGTTTGTGTGATGTCATGCTTACGTGGAGCATCGCAACGCAGTCTGGAGCACTCTGAACTTTGCGCTGTGGTCTCAACGAAGGGGAGTCTTTAGCAGTTGCTTTAAATGAGCCGTCCATCAAACATTCATGCATGAGGTAGGATCTGCTTGGAACGAAGTGTATTCCCAATGTCACTCCCTCTTTCAGAACCCATGCTATGAGCTTTACTCAGTGTATTCACAGCGGCGAGTAACAACGGCAAGAGGTTGCAGGCGGTCACAACATTCGCAGCAATGGCAACCAAGGCAGGCTCGAAGCCCTCTCTGAATCCGGACTGGGCTTAACTTCGGCATCACTTATGACTCTCCTCAGACCAATGTTTCATTACCGTTTGAAGATGGCACCAGAATACTGCATTTTGCACCAAAATGTGCTGAACCCGAACCAACGGCAGTAGCAGGTGTACAGACTGGTACGGATAGTTTCCCACGCTTACCTGGCACTTTGTAAAGCTGTTGCTTCCTGCTTGCTGGGCTTTAGTAGGATCTTGACACCGACGGTAAAAGCAGCACCTGGAGCACTAGGCAACTAACCACATTCCACAAAATCAACGTCCAGACTGATAAAGCACTCAAGCACAAGACCTACAATACCATGGGTGACGAAGCCTAAATCCTAAAAGGGTCCCCAAGTAGCTATGTGGTGGGGAACCGTACCTTGTTCGGATTCTGTAAACCCTGAACACCAAACCCGACACCCAAAACCCACGCCCTAGACCTTCTTTTGCTACTGGACTCCAGTTTGGCCAGACTACGACGTAAACCCCAAAGTCTGTACCCGGAATCAGTGCTTTGGAGTCTTCAGGTTAAATTTTGTTAAATCTTGGCCACCCGCTGGCCAGTTGTTAGGACCGGTGCCTTGCACATTCATCCCATAGCTCCTAAATTAGTTAAATCGCAAACAGTCTCTGTCCTTCTCTGCTTATGTATATATGTGTATGCAGATATACGCACATGCATGCATGCATACATATTGGTGTTGACCGTGTATTTGCGTAGTATGAACGGCCGTGTGTTTAGTTTCCAGCAATAACAACGTCTAGTCTTTTGCAGGTACAACGCGCCCTTCATTTTCAGGGCTTTTTCACGGGGCACTTTTGTCCCAGGTCTTCCAGTACGACGAGATTCTGGACGACATTAAGGAGGCCCTGATGGGATTTCCCCGAATGGTCACTACAATATGACCCTAATGGGGGCTCGAGAGGACAAGCATGCTGTAGCCCGAGCCCAAAACACGCCTTGAGCCCGGTGAGAACCTCAACTTTAGACTTTAGGATTGAGCTTAAACGAATTAGAAGCACAGCCCCAAGCCAATCAGCTTTTTGAGGATAGATTGCTGAGTTTAGGCTGCATAGTTCAACGTGTTTCGGACAAACTGGACATGATTTCGGGTTTCTTTTTCGGAGCATCGGTGTACAGTTGAGGAAGAGATCCACAGTAGGATTCTGAACTTTAGCTTGTGCCCAAAACGGTCTCATATTCCTCATCAAGCGGTGGTTGGGGGCTGCAACGAAAGGCGGATGGGGGTCTAGAGTAGAAGTAAAATCACAAAATCCGGAGAAGTTTACTTTGGAGGTGTCAAGATTATGGGGTGCTGGCTTGCAGAAACTACCCGTCGCTCCTGTCCGGGCTTCTGAAATACCCGCACAATTTATTGCTATGATTATTTCAGGGTTTAGGGTATCAGTTCCCCAATACTGATGTTTCTGACTTGCGGCTGATTGGCTCCGTCTTTTTGGGGCTTCGTCGCTTCTCTAGCTTTCTGCCATGTGGCTTCCAGGGCTGATCCCAGACCCCAACTAACTTACCTTCTTGAGTTTCCTTATAATTGGTTTCTTTTGTGGGGGCTCGGGACGATCCTAAGCCCTCGAAGCCTAGAGCACCAATCCGGAAAGGTCCAGAGTGTCGATGGGAAAGCTGTGCTATGGGAATTTGGGACAACTGTTTCGGTGCTGGGCGTTGTGGCTGCTTTGTTGAGAACCAGAATCCCAAGACATGGATCCGTGCTTGGGTTTAGAGCGATTACACTTTTGGCGAGCTGAGGTCTCTTGTGATGAAGACTCAAGAACGAGGGTCTGTAGCATTTGCCATTGGTGCGTTTGGGATCGTCCCCAGGAGCAAGGGGTGGAGGGCATCAGTGATCGCATCCGCCGGGGACCAAGGCTTAAAACACGTTGAATCTGAAAGTGGGGTTAAAGCCACAGACCTCATCGCTGTAATATGGCTGTCTTCTACGGTTGTTGTTTCATTTTCTGTAGTATAAAGTCTGTTGTAGTTTGGGGTTTGGGATATAGGCATCACCGAGACGGTTTTTCATCAAGTGACAGTATCGAGATGACTTATTGGCCATTGCCTCTTAAAGTTTACGCCGCATGGTGGGTCAGTTGTGGTACAGGACAGCAAAGGCTGTCATTACTGATCTTGGCAGTATGTAACACTCTGCCACAACCGGCGTGTCTCAACCCGAACTCGGCGGTAGCCAGTCTGGAACTCGTGCTGGGGAATTCTCCTGAGCCCCGTCACTACGGACCGAAAAGCCTAAATCCTTAAACTAAGCTGCGTGCTCTATCGGAAACCCTACGGAAAAAGTTATCAACAAGTATTATTCAGACCCATGCATTAACTACAACTGTGTCCTCTGTATACACTTCGGCAGTGACCTTGCTCGTTGGACGCGCTTTCTGGTGTTGAAGCTTTCTCTCGACTTTCACACGAGGGGTTTATCAGATCGTTCGGTGCTGCATGTAAAGCAGTTCACTGTAGAACTTAGAACATGTTTGTTTCATCTTAAACCAATTTGGAAGGATCTGCCCTTATTGAAGCAGCCTGGCTTTGGCATGTAGTGGGTTGCGATCTTCCTAAGTCAGCAACCCAGGTGCGGACACGACGCAGCAGAAGAAGCGCGTTGGTCTCCATGTACCGCAGGGCGCAGATTCTGTCAGGGCCACGCGGGGCATGGACAGAATATTAATGAAACTCTGGGCACAGATTCCTGATAATTACAGGGCTTGTCGGTTTACGGACACCGCTTGTCTCTTGACCTATGTTGAGTCTGAGGGTTAGGTTTATCTTTAACGCTGAGTGTTCACGGGGCTCAGGTAGGTTAAAGCTTGATCGGACCTGAATCGGCCGGCCTGTTCATCATTGAGGAATTGACCGTTTTGTGTCGCCATGTGGCAGTATGCCATACCACGGAACAATGGTATACACAACATATCAAGACAATATAGCTTTACTGTCAGCGACGACGGCAGCAACTCCAACAACCACAGCAACAACACCAACAACAACAACAACAACAACAACAACAACAACAACAACAACAACAACAACAACAACAACAACAACAACAACAGCAACTGCACAGCACCAGCACCAGCAGCAATAACAACAGCAACAACCAAAGCGAATCCAAGGCCCTAAGCCCAACAGTCGAGATCTTGAAGCCCAACCATGACCAGGAGGTCTGGGTCGTGCCTTATCTGTGGGTGGTCCGGGTCCGTGCAGGCCTTATGGGTCCCGCCACTATCATTGTGCTACAGCCTGCAATATTCTGAGTACCTTTCTTCATGTTCTCATACACCCGATCACGAGCCCTGAACCCAAGCCCTAAGCCCTTAGTGGAAGGCTCAATTCTGCTTGCTTTTCGGTCCGGGGCCAGGGGATGATGCATTTAGGAGGACCCAGAGGTCTAGGGTAGAGGGTTTAGAGGTTTCGGGTTTACGGTTTGGGTGGAGGGTTTGGAGGTTTTGGGGGTTTACGGTTTACGGTTTTGGTGGAGGGTTTGAGGATACGTAGCTCTGGCCACATCCAATGCTGCAAGGTGAAAACCGGCGCCAAGCGCTCTGCAAAGTATGTGGAGAAAGTCCAGCTCCTTGTCCTGAGAAGAGTATGCAAACGGTCAATTCAACCCTGCTTCCTTGGGTACATCCGCCACAAATTTCCCATAGCTGTTGCTCTCTCAGAGGGACTAAGATGCCAGTGTGAGTGGTCTCTTCACGGGCATTGGCGCAAGGATTGCTTTGGTGATCTTGGGGGATGAGTTTTGTCCAACAAGCCATACACCCAAATTTGCAATGTTTGTTAAACGTCTTCAGCCGTAAATGTAAACTGAACACACTAAGTGCTCAAGTATTCGGACGCTCGAAGCTGAATGGTTCGTCAGAAGTGGGGCATAGGGAAGCTGTCGGAAGTTCGGTTACCCCTGACAGGCCAACCCTAGAACCCTGCTCAGAGATTCGCTTTACCCTAAGGCTTACTTGTACCGTCCAAGTACTCAAGCAGCCTGCACTTATGCTGTTGGGTTTAGGGTTGCTACTATGTGCTACCGCGGCTGCTACTGCTACTGCTACCGCTGCTACTACTGCTACTACTTCTTCTAGTACTACTACGACGACGAACACTCCAACTGCGACTACGATGGCCAGTACGCCGACGACGACGACCACTAATGCTACTTCGATGACTACGACGACGACTGCTACTGCTGCTGCTGCTGCCGCCACCACGACTGCTAGTACTGGCACTGCTGGTTTTTGCTAGTGGCCTTTCATCTTGTTTCCGGCTGTGATTATTGTTTTCGTTAATCTCTTTACCGTCTTGTCTCCCTCCACCCCTTGAGTGGCTCCGACTGTTGGTAGTAGCGGAGGATAGCCACGGATCGGAGGAAAGTGGAGCAGCAGGCACAGGAGGTTTTCAGATTTTGTGGGATCTCTGAAAGATCGGCATCTCCATCCTAGGCCATTCGGCTCCTGGGGGCTCTTTGGCGTAGTCCGGTACAGTGTATTCGTGAGCTTTGCTGGGGCTCAACGAGAAGCCTTGAACCTTGAATCCTGAACCCTAGACCCGAAGCCTGTCATGGGTGGTTTTCGGGTATGTTAGGCTTGCACTGTCCACGCTGGCTTTGTTTTATTTTGACGGGCGGTGTTAAGGTTACGTGTTTGGGTTGTACACGAGTTTTTTCTTTCGGTGGGTCAGTGCCGGTGAGGGGTATAGGAATTCAGGATTCACTTTTTTGGGGCGGTGCTTCGGGGTTCTCCCCATGACTTGCAAAGAGTGCAAAGAGTGAGCATTCTCAACTTCAATCCTTGAAGACCTAAGTGTATTCGGGCTTCTTCGACATGAGGCAAGGACGGCCCCCCCAGGATTCTTTTTTGGCTTTTGTAAAACCTTAGACTTTAAGATCGGCAGCCAGGCTGAAGCCAAAGCCGTCTGAACACCCGGAAGCAGCCTAACATCACCCCTCTAACAGCCTCACATCCTATAGGCCCCGAATCTAACACCTCTATGTATCTGAAGGTCGCAAACCTGAATACACATCAAATAAGACCACATAGCGCCTTCCAACATGCCGCAGATCGTGGAAGATCGGCTCCTAAAGAAAGAGAAGGAGTCGGGAGCTCAGGATTCAGGGGATTGATGATGGAAGCCAAACTCGTTTACAAGATTACGCCTTTGGGGTTCCTAGTCCAAAACACCTTGAGGCCCCATTGATTATGAACGCCCCGAAATCGGGGTTTGAGGATTTAGGGTTCAGGGTTTAGCGTGGGGTCTTATGCATATCAAAACGGTGCTACGAAGATGCTTGCCTCACCACCCTGGAACGCTGTAAAGCCTGTAGGCCCAAGCCCATAACTTTCACATATGCATTGCAATTTGTTGCTGCTTTTTTGTTGCAGGAGGGGTTGGGAGTGCGGGTTCGGGTGTTGCCGAGGTTTCATTGTCAGTTCAATCTAGATCATACTGTAAGGGTTGTGTAGGGGGTTCTATAAGGGTACTACAAGAGTTCTTAGGGTTTAGGGCTGTTTTGGTGGTCTTTCCGTGAGAGTGCGGTTGTTGCATGGTTTGGTGCTTTTGTGGTGTTGGCAGTTGGGGTTCTGCGGTTTCGGGAATTCGGTGGTTTATGGCTGGACGGTAGGTTTTGGGGGCTTGAGGGTGTTAGGGTTGGGGGTTGAGGTGCTTTGGGGGAATTCGCTTTTCTATATCATATAGGGCCTCAGGGATTCACGGCTTCAGGGCTTTGCTCGGGGCTGCCGGTATTGGGCTCTTGCAGACTCTTGCAGCTAAAAAGGAGTTTTAGGACTGACTGTGAGTTGGGGCCTGGTCAGGGTTACAGTTTAGGGTGAAGGGGACGGTTGCAGGGTCCTGTACACGGGGCGTTTTGCATGGCGGGTTTTGAATGGAACAGACTCACCTGCCTGTGTAATGCTGCCGGAACTCTGATCAGCAGGGTTGATGGGTCACACGCAGGGTACGTCTCTGGAGATCGTAGGCTGTGGACACGAGCACGTTTGGTTGTATGCAGCAGAGGGTCATATCTTCATGGCTGCAGGCAGTTGCGCTTGGTCAAGGCAATGCTATCACGGTGTCCTGGAAAAGCTCGGCTTTGAGCCCGTACTTCAATACTACGATGGGCACCGTGCCATTCTGCCATGTGAGAAGACTGTCTGAGGAGCAAGACTGGGCAAGACTCTATTCATTCCTCGCTCCGGTCATGGATACAACGACCAGACGCTGACAACAGCCACTGGAACCTTATATCCCGGTACACCCAAACCATGCACAAACACCTAACCCTCAGAAAGTTTTGTATAATCCCAAGCCCCACAGCCCTTTCTGAGCCTTGACGAGACCCCGCAGCAAAATGAAACACACTATAAAACCATGTACGTGCCTGTTCCCTACACTTGAGAAACCCTCAAAGACCGAAATCTTCCTAGATTTCTACCACATCGCATACTGTGAGGGTCCACGTACTCCTGAGGATAGGAGTTTGGGCCCTGTTGGGCCCTTTTGGGATCCAAAAACCAGAAATCTGGACTGCCCGAACTTTGCAAAGTGTATACTAGGGTACTGGAGCCCAAACCCTAAACCGCGCTAACCCTAAACCAAACCTGACGCCTGGATAGTACCCTGTTTAGCCCTCCTCTCGAGCTCACAGTTGACCCATACTGACCCATCCTGATGCCCTCAAACCCTCAGCCCTAATATCCGACTATCCCTAAAGAACCTAAAGCTCCTAAGCCTAAGCCCCATATAGAGACTACCAACGTCTATCAGCTTTGCAATGTATGAGCCCTACTACCCTGCAAAGCACTAAACTGTAAGCCCTCGTATTACCTTCTGTTCCTCTAACTGACTATAATGCAACCATTTGAAAGCCAGTGCCAAGAACTTTCTTGGCGCCCAGACCTTTTCACTGCCGAGGGCGCGACAAGATGCTGAAGTCTTCGTCACCGAGGGCTTCAAAGAGGTCCGGCTCTGGGTTTCGGGTTTGGGACTGTTTGGATTTCGGGACTGGGGGTTCATAGGTTTTGAGGTTTGCGTAGGAGTTGGGGGGGTAGTTCACGGTTCAGGGGTGGGGGCTTCGAGTTTGGTATTGGCTTTGCCCTAAGGCGTGAACTCCATTTAGTGTTGTTCAGAAAACTATTAAAGCGCTGGGGTACAGGAACCGGTCCATCATACAACCCCAGAATAAGTACAAATTGGTCCTCAATATAAGGACCCTGAATAGCCTACGGCTCTAACCGCCCCCCTTCAAAAGAAAAAAAAACATCCAAGGTATTCATAGCCCCCCAAAATGCCATGAAGGAGCTCAAGAGAAGAAAGAAGTTTGAGGATGAGTTGGAGGCACAAGAGGCGCCTCTGGCTTTGGGGTTCAGAGTTTAGGGTTCTGGGCTAAGGGTGTCTTTTCTTGGGGTTTTGTTTACGAGTTTCCATAAGGTGGTTGCAGGAATTGGATAGAGGCCATATTTAGTGTGTTTCTGGAGGGTGTGGGTTCGCAGAAACACGGTTCCGGGAGCCAGGATTCAAGGTTTACAAGTGGCTTAGCAACAGTTGATGTTTTGATTTGCGTTTTGGCTGCGCACATGGGTTTGTAAGGGGTCATCGATAAGACTCTGTAATCTGTAAGGTCTTGTTGGTGGGATAGTCTGCCTGTGGTTCCAAGTACCTTTCTGCAAATCGGAAGCCATACACATCATACACTAAACCCTACTATATAAACCCTACCTGGCCCTCTATGCGGTACGAGTGGAGCCTCAGTGATCAGGATTTTTGGCTTTGGAGGTAGCCCGGATGTGTCTACCCTCTCTCTTTCTGTGACGTTCAAAAACGGCTGTGTACTAGCATGTGTTCAAGGTTTGCACTTCATGGACCATCGTATAAAGAACGCCTAAGAACACATGTGGGTCGTTTTGCTTAGGGGGTTGGGACGCTTCAACTCCAGATCGGAAAGCCCTCAAAGTCTCCAAATCCTAGACGACGGCTGCCAACATTTCAAGAACCCAATCGAAGCCCATCTCCGAGGAGCGGGATCAGAAGAACGCAGCTGGCGGCTCAGGTTCGTAGGAGGGCCCCAAGCCGTCACAAGCGAAAACTGTGATAGTCAGGATAGCGGTGGTGGTAGAAGCAGTAGCACTGACTCGGGGGCTGTGGAACATACTGCGTTCCGCGTAGCAGCTACGGCAGCAGCAGCAGCATGGTGGTGCCGGCGTGGTGCTAGTAGTGGCGGGGGCGGCGGTATATGTATACAGTTGTCATTCCCTCTACAGTCAGGGCCTGCTATATAGCCCTGACTCTGAGAAACCACGCTTTCATATTGGGACCAGATTCCTTCACCCCTTACCGAAGAGCCGGAGACATGTCAACCTTTAAACCCGACAGCGCTTAAATGCCCCAAGAAACGAAGCACCATTGTTTGTGTGTTGTCTCGTGTTGTGCGGTTGCTGATTGGGGGTGCTGATCGCGCGGAAGACCTCGAGTCCGGGGCCAACTTCGACATCAATGTGGGAATGTAGCTGCTTGTTCGAGTAAGCAGCGGTTGGAAACCCAGATAGTGTATATAGGTGGCCTGAAGGACCGAATCGGGAAACCTTACAAGTCACAAGGATCCCCAAGCAGGCACCTTAAAGGCGACCGTGGGGGCACCTTAAAGGCGGGGGGGTCTTGGGATCCTAGGCTTTCGGGGTTTCCTCTTAAAAAGGCCCAGCAGTCTCCGGCTCCCTTAGGCTGAGAAGCAGGAGCACGGAAGCGGCTTCGCATCGATGTGCTTTTCTGGCCTTGGTGTTTTTTTAGAAAAAACATAGGTTTAAACAAAAAAACATAGGTCTAGGTGTTTAGAAAAACCTATGTTTTGTTCGTTCTTGTTTCCTGTTTGTATTTCGGAGGGGGGGGTGGGGGGGGGGGAAAGGGCAGGGTTCACGGCAGTTCTGCGACTTCAGGGGTTAAGGCTCTTTAGGTAGCTTATTGGAGTCATAGTATCTTGGGTCCCAAAGCCCTATTCCAATTATTAAGGCCCCTAGATTATACGGTTCCTTAGCTAAGGCTTGAGAGTTGAGGGCCTGGCCTCGAAGAGTCGGATGTTGAGGCTTATCGATGATAGGCAAGATCCCATAGAAGGTGATACGGGTGTCTAGTGTGGGGTGAGTTCAGGATGAATGGTGAGAACTGTCCCATCTCGTGTCTACCTGGGTACCAAAGACGCAGGCTTAGTGTTTTGGATCTAGGGGTTCGAGTCTTGGACTTTAGGGTTCAGGGTGCTTTCGGCGGCTAGGAAGCATTGCTAATATAACAGGTTTGCTTTCAGGTCGCTGTAGGTAGAGACACCGCAACAGGGTAGCTGCAGCCCCAATCATTCCGCACTGACGAAATTCCGGCACCAGGCAGCCGGCAGGATGCAACCATGCAAGCCCAAAACAAGGTCTGAAGTAGGATTCGATTGCATTCACCCTGGACCCCAAACCCAAGCCCTAAACCCCAAGCCTGAGACCTTGAGCCTTGAACCCTAAGCCGCAGTCGCTTATTGAAGCCTCTTGGCCTCATGTATTGCGAATTCTTGGCGGAGTTTCGGGACTGAGGGTTCTCGATGAGATTCATGAGGGTTTTAGGGTTTCCGGGTTTGGACGTTCAGGGTTTGGGCTCTTGGAGCAGAAGTCCGTAAGACGTTAGCACTTCAGCAGGCCTCCCGTGTGGGTTTCTGGCGTCTGCCCCGGGCCGAGAAGCAGCAAACATTCGCAAGAACGGCCCAGGTGGCAAGGTCTGTGCACAGTCCGGGTCAGTGAAGGTTGCAATAGCAATAGCCCGACGGCAAGGGGCCTAATAGTGCGGATACACGAGGCTGATTAAGAAACCTCTGGCCTTTACTAGGGTTCTCCTACTATTTGGTGCATTATAGGACCAAAGTTTCTGAATCAGGTTCAGTGGATGATGTTTTGCGCCAACGCCCGTAGGCTGGCACCGGCCCTTGTATTCTTCATATACCGATGAGTCCATGGCGGTCACCGTGACTACACCATAACCCTGAAGCCTACAACCTGAACCCTAAACCCTACAAGCGGAACCCTGCACCTTAAAGGCCGATAAGGGTGAGTTGCAAGTACCAGGTACCGCAACTTGCTCAACACCGGGCTGGCCAGCAGTCGAGGTGGTGAGAAGGCCTTCGGAAAGCGCTGCCAAAATCCCGAAACCAGGAGCGCCAACTACTCGTTAAACCTGGCTCATAGTCTTCCTTCAGAGGGAATAATGAGCGCTAGAATTAGGGGTAGTTGAGGGTTTATAAGGACGAGTTCGTATGCCCCAAGGCATTCATCCCGAAACTCCGAGAACCCACACACTCCTAAAGACCTAAACGGCCCTGAAACCCAGCGCACTGCCTCGGCTACCCCGTACCCTTTACAATAAACCCCTAAACCCTAAACCCCATAAGCCCTAAACCACTACGCCATAAACCCTACACCCATGCACCCAGATGTGCAAACTGAAGCCATGCGTCATCCAATGCATTTTTGGGGGCTTGGGGCTTCAAAGGTTCGTAGGGCTTCCGGACTTGAGGGAGTAAGGTTTTCAGGTTTGAGAGATGACTTTCCGGGATTAGCAGGGTACATTCTCAGGGTTGCTGTATGGGTTGCTGTCGCAACGTTTTACCCTCGCCCCCTCGCTCCAGAAACAAATGCCCACTACAAAGAACCACAAGGGCTCTAGTTGGGAATCCTGGCCATTGAGTTTTCCGATAAACCCTAAAACCCTAAACCTTGAGGCTCAGGCCCACAGGCCCATAGGTCTTAGAGTTCCCGAAGCGTCAGGGGCCTCCACGAACTGCAACAAGTTTGGGGGGTCAGGGTGTATAGGGACTATGAGGAATGTAGGCCTTTACTTGTATACCTTGTATAGATGTTATAAACTTATATATATATATATATATATTCCCTTCCCTGATCCTTGATTTAAAGTAGAGTCCTCTCTACTGTCTACTAGACTAGACCCATCGACCAGGAGCATAGCAGGCAATATAGAGGTCGCATTCGCTGGAATCACGTTCCTTTTATGTCCCTAAATCGTAAACTATATCCCCGCGCCCCTACTCCATTCTATGTATCAAGGCCGCTAGAGTGGCTTCTTGTTGAAATCCCTGAGGTGCGCGAGATGCGTCCGGCGAGGCCATGTCGCACCTCCCAAACCCGATGCGTCAGACTAGGTTCCCGCAGCCCCTTGACTTTTTGCGTGCCAGACTTTTATTACTCCGTTCTGGACTAGTTCCTTAAAGGAACCTTGGTAGAAAAAGGCTGTATTCGTTCTTTCTGCCCGGTCACTTCACTTCCCAGGCCCCCTGAATGCTCAACCCCGCCTAGAGCCACAGACTCCTAAACCCAGTCTATGAACCCTAAATCCACTCCTGAAGCTCTAATCACCCCGCCCCAATCCCTAAAACCTTGAACCCAAGATCTCCTGGTGCCCAAGCCCAATGTCAGCAGCACTCACCGCTGAACTTTCGCGATAGGAGCTACTTTCGCTCCGAAAATCAACCGCTTCAAAGCCTTAAAGAAATAGGTTCGCAGGGGCTTAGGGTTGATAGGGTTTTAAGGTCTGGGGTTCAGCCTGAACACTCAACCCTCTGAAGTGTCAACCAGTCCGTGGTACAGGCCTTTTCCTAAGCCCGGAAACCTGCCCCCTGAGCCGAAAGGCTTACGTAAATCATTCCAAAAGGCGTAAACCCCAAAGCCCTAAGTAGCCTTCCAAACCTGCGAAACCCCAAACCCTAAACCCCAAAGCACGAAATTAGCCTTACAGCCTTATAAACCCCATTCCCATATGCAGCTGTTTCGAATGTCAATCTAGGGCATCTAGGGTTTAGTACTTGTCTTTTTCTGGATGGGGGATAGCGTTAGAGAGTTTGGCGACTTGTACATGGCTTATGTGGGTTAATAAGGTAAGGGCTTGTTGGGGTTTTGAATGTGTCGAAATTTGTCAAACCAAGGCGCTCCGTGCAACAGGACGGCTTCCACGGGGAAAATTTTGCGGAAGCCGGTCAGAGAATCTGCAAACGCACCTTTGCACGTTTCGTTCCTGTGTTCTTCCAGCATGCCAGTGCTCCAGAGACTGTCGGCACTCTTTTAGAGTGCTATTTTGCGGCAGCACCTAGCGCAGAGAAGACTTGCTTCTGTCCCTCCGGAATCGTTGCGAACCAGATCGTCAAGACCCCAAACCGCAATCCCGAAGCCAGTAGCAGAGACATCCTGACCCAAGTTTTATATTGCTAGAACCTTTCGAGCTGTCCACAAGCTTGAATAGCTTTTCAGCGGCACTGAACACGAAGCTGGCCGTAAACGCAGGACCCTGAACCCCAAGCCAACTCAAGAAAATGACTATAGATAATCCTCCACATACTAAGAGCTAGGCCGCCCTGAAGTACCATAAGTTAGTTGTTCGCCTTTTACTCATTGGAAAGCTAAATTTCCCAACTTGCAGAATGTAAGGTCATAAGCCCGTAAAGCGCTGATGATTGTGGCTTTGGGTTTTGGATTTCGGATTGCATGGTTTAGGATTTCATGCCGAGTCTAGGGCTATAGTAGTGTTGCGGGTCGGGATATTTGAGCTACCCCTGCAAGACCCTGCAAAGATGTTTATGCCCTTGTAAAGCAGCATGAAGTCCTCTCTGAACCCTATAGATGTTTTTCTAATGTCACAGGAAGCTTGGCTGTTCTTAAATCCCAAGCCTTGTACCCTGAAACCCTATAAGCTCTGGACACTCTAAACCTCAAATACAACCCCCAGGCTGGGAGGATACCGAAGACACGGGTCAGTTTTGGATTTTTGTGCTTCTAGGTGTTTATGTTTAGTTTAGTTACAAACCCTACAGACGCTAAATAGCAGGGTATGACCGGAGACAATGGGACCTATGCCTTAAGCCCAGCTAGGTACCGATTTGGGATAAGGTCATAATAGGGTTTCCATTTTCCATATTTGTGCTTAGCATAGGGCCCCAACGAAAAGTAGATTGGGGGCGGTGTCAAAAAACGACACCCCTGGCCTATGGGTAAACTGCCGGACAGGGAAGATGCCGAGGAGATGAAGGAGGAGATGAAAGAGGCCAAGGTGCGACGGATTTTTAGGGATTCCTGGGTTCCCGTAGGGGCTCTAAAGGTGCTATAGGCGGCTCCTATGTTCATGTGCCGAGCGGCTGTAAGGGGTTCTACAAACGGTTCTACGATGTTGGCGTGCTATGGGGTTTCTTGTGTTCCTCGGCCGGCCCCTTCTAAACGGTCTAGGGGTCAAAGTTAAGGGTTTCGGGTTACGGCTTCACTTGGGTGCGTCGCCCCACATCCCAAGTAGTTTCGTTGCCGGGCAACTTATGCAGCTCGTAGTAGAGCGTCACGACATAGAAACCCTGCTTCGCTAGGACCTTACGCGAAGGACATTTTCATTTAGGCGAAAAGCCCAAAGTTTCGTAGAGAACGTAGCCTAATCTGCAGAAATAATATCTGAGGTGTGTAGAAACCCTTGGAAAGGCTACTATGCTCGGAGGTCCTACATGCTTTAGGGGTCTGTGGCATCGCAGAGGCCTTTGGGGTGTATGAAAAAGGGTCTTCTGGGCTATGAGGCGACTCAACGTTGCTAACTTGTCCCCCTCCCCCCATGCGAAACTAGGTAGGGTTCCTGAACAAAGCCCCCAAACTCGAAATCCTGTGCCCTAAACCGGACCATACTCTGTGCATTTCTTGGTTTTTCTTAATGGATATCTCCGGATCTGAAGTCCAAAAGCCCGAAGCCCCAACAGTGAGATGGAGCTTGATCGTCGAGGGTTGAGCATGCAGCGTTTGCGAAAAGCGAGCTTGCATAAAGCCGAAGCTCCACCCCATTGTCTGTGAGTCCCTTTCAAATCTGGGGCCCACATAAGTCTGTCGGAAGGAAGAGGACGAGGACAAGATCAAAGCTGAGCTTGCCCCACTCGTCGAGAAGGACCCGAGACCGACAAGTTCAGAAGTTCAGAAGGTCGGGCTTCGGATGTTAAATGGGAGTTTCCGAAAATGGGGAACCCTAATATAGTACCCCAAATAGTAGGATCCTAAACATAAGGACCCAAAAATAAGGTACCCTAATATTCGGAAACTCCCAAGTCGATGTTTGCTAGGTGTGCAGTTCGCAAGGCGATTCGGCTCCGGCTAGTGCTAGTCACATGTAAAGGCTCCCAGTCTTGAATGTCTAAGGTCAGGCTCTAAACCCAGAGCAGTATCCTAAGCCTCTGAACCCCAGACAGCTCTTGCAAGTAGTTGGGAGATTCCACAAGTTTCCCGAAACCCCAAGAGTGCAAAAGCTCCCTGGACTCGTCAATGGAAACCGCACCAAAATGAATCAAATCTGCCCGCAGGCATAGTGCGTACACCCACGGCTGACGGTATGTCAGCGTCACATTTTGTCGATCGTCCGTAGGGTCGCCCCTACACTCGACGATCTTGTATGCTATGTATGTAAGTGTAAATCATCCTGTGTCACAAGTACGCAGTGATTCCATATATTCTACAACTCTACTGGTTTTGATTTCCGCTGACGAGAACTGAGTTCCCTCCCCAAACCTAGCTCGTAACCGCTAAACCTTATAAACCCTAGACTTTACAAAAACCCTTAGCGATACCGACCACGAGAGTACATCAGCCTTACCCCTGACCCGACGGAGAACCTGACAGAAAGCCCAGACCGAAAGCTCTCAGAGCTTTGCAGGATGAGTTGGCCGAAGCTGCAAGCAGCAGCCACGGTGTGCAGGATCTAACGAGACTTCATGTTTTAAACCGTAAAAGGTTTATAGTGTTGTGTTTGGGGTTTGGTAGGGCGTCTTGGGCATCTAGTGTGCTGATTTATTTAGAGTGTATTGATACAAGGCTTCGGGTATTGGTTTGACTGTTTCGCTTAGTTCGTTTATGGTTTATAAGATTTCAGGTAATGCTGGATTTGATGGGGCTTTAAACGAATTTCATGGGATCTCAAAAGGATTTCATAAGGTCCAGTACGGCAGCTGTAGATATTCGTGGCATAACTGTCTGTACAATGGATGCAGGGGCCTTCCACATTTTGGTCTTGAGGCTTTGAGGTTTGGGGCTTCGGGGCTTTAGGGTTTGGGACGGTAGGATTTAGGGAGCATCGAGGGTTTTGGTGGTCGACGCAGTGGTAGGGGTGCTGGAGTGGGGTGCGTAGATTCTTTGGGTTTTGATTTATTGACCTTGAACGGCCCAGGTCTAAACTTCGGGGATTCTACCCCAGCCTCGAAAGCCCTGAACCTTCAACTCTCAAGCCTCAACCGGCCGAAAGCCCCAAAGGCTAAGCCGACGGAGCCTAAAGCAACGGAGGTGGTCCGCTCACCTCGACTGATCACATTGCTGCTAATATCGACATGACCGTAGCATAAACTAACACGTGCACTAGTTAGGGTTTATTTAGGGGTGCTTCTTCAGGACCCGTTTGCCTGATCGTGAAGTATGCCGTTGGGCATGGTGCGTAAGGCTTCAGTGAGGAAATCGTCGCTCGCTTGCTCGCTTGTGGAGGACGTTGCATTTACTGCCGCGCCCGGCAGCAAGGCCGAACTCTGCCGATATATCGGGTAATGCCAGTGTTTAAGACAGTAATTATGTTGTATGGTTTCACAAGGGTTTCATTGCTGCTTTAGGTTGTGAGACGGAGTTGCATAGGGTTGCTACATTTCATATCGGGGTATTTTGCACTCTAGAAAGGAGTTGCAGGGTCTTATGTCCTGGTATCCGCAGGTGCTGCCAGGGTCGCTTTCTGCCGAACAGCTGCTCAAGATGTACAGGGTTGAATCTGCATTTGTTCAACCTTCCCATATTTCTTTGTATAGCTATATAAAACTTTGAAGGTACACAGGCATAGGGAGAATGTCGTGACAGAATCAAACAAGCTAACAGAGAAAACCATACCGACACATACACATACAGTAACATACACACACATACATATATACATACATACACATATATACATATACACATGATATCTCTCTCTCTCTCTCTCTGTCTCTGTCCGTCCATTTGTTTGTTTGTCTGCATGTCGGTGTAGGGAGCGCCTCGGACATTCAGACTTTGCGGTTTAGGCTTGTAGTGGCTTGCAGGGTTTACGGCTGACAATGTGAGGGTTATAGTGTTCAAGGTCTGATGTTAACATTGCTTATCTGATAGTACAGACCCTGATCAACAAGCCTCTCTCCTTTGCGGGGGTCTACTTGGGTCTTGCGACAACCCAAAGCCTCAAAGCCTGCATAGACCCTTCTTGTGGCACCGAACCCATCAATTTTTTTCTGGTTCTACGCCTCGAAACAGTAGGTTTTTTGGGTGGTCAGGTACGACCCTCTCTGACCCCAAGCCTTCAAGCCCAAGTTGTCCTCCGTGACAGGAGGAGGAGAAGGAGAAGCGAGAGGAGAAGGCGACTTCCCCCATGTTTTCGGGTATGGTATAGTATAGTATAGTATTATATAATAGTATAATGAAACATAATATCGTATACTATACATAGATGTAATCCAGGAGACCAGCTTGGACGCACAACGGAAATCCCATCAAGGAGCCTCCCCTAAGCACCCCATGATGATTTCAACCTTCAGCTGCAAGTGATCACAGGGCCGACCTGGCAGGTTTCCCATGGCTGATCTTCTGTCCCAGTTCAGTTCTTGAGGGTTTCGGGTATTTGGTTTTCAGGGGATTGGGAAATTCAAAACCATTGTGAGCCCATAATGAAAGCCCGCACTCTCCAAGGTTTTGTTGCATATTCCCAGCCTTGGGGTACACCCCTGAACCCTGTACCGCCCTCAAGCCCTTAAGCCGCAAAATCCTTGAAGCCTATAGACTCAAGAATCCCAAAGCCCTCCAGCCTGAAAGACCCCAAAACCTCTAGAAAACCCCAGAGCCATAGAAGCCTCAGAGTTTCTGAACTTCAAGGCTTCTTGGGCGCGGAAATTCGGCCTCTGCGGCCCAGAGATCGCTAGAGTGAAGCGATCTTCAGAAGCTTTCCTTGAGAGGAATTAACTAAGTATACCCGGTTATTAGTTAAATCCGAATAAGTTTTAGTAGAGTATTACACGGAAAGCCATACATCCCCATACCCCATACACCCTTGTAGTCCTAGAGACCCTCCCGGTGACCTCCACAGGCGCTCAGCGCGAAGGAGAGGTACATGCTTCGGAAAAAAGGCTGGGGATGCCAACTCCTGTCAGGCATTCATACAGGGGCCTAAATGATGACCTATACTATGTCGGGGGTTCCTTATTGTAATTATAGTATAGTACACCCCCAAAGCCTATTCGAAGAATCAGGGCCCCTAATGTATTGGTTTCAGAGGTTGTGGGTGTAAGCAGTGTAAGTGCTGTCGGGTTTCCCATTGGCCTGCTGAAGGGCCGCAGTGTTTGGGAGTCGTGTGGCTTTAATCGCCTTATATAGCTTACTATCGGGGGGTGCCTATGTGCTTGTTTTGTAGGTTGCGCCCTTCAGGAGGTTTAGGGCTTCGGCTTCGGCCTCGGCCAACAAGCCGTAAACCGGGGAGTTGACAATGCCAGTGGCATTGTCAACTGCTGTCGCAGAAAGTTGCTTGTACAGCTCCATGCCAGCAAGTCAGATATCCGTTGAAAAGCCCGACAATGCCAGCCTAAAGCCATCACCAACCCCTTACTTACACCCCCAACATGACGAGGTGCCGGATCCAGCCTAAGCCTTGAAGTTTCATGCCCCGCGCAGAGGCCTGCTCCCTGCCGAAGGAGAAGGATGAGGCGCGGGTTCGCACGAAAGGGCATAGTTAGGCTGAGGGGTACCGTGTTTCATCCAAGTTTCCGGCTTTCGGGGAATTTGCCCTCGAAGCAGCACATGAGAAGCACCCGAGAATCCAACAACGAACCGCTGGTTGATCCCTGAAAATTCGTAAGCTCAAATTTGGGGGGCTTTGGGCTTAAGGCTCAACCTTTTGGATTCCAGATCAGGTGAAACCCGGCGTACTCCAGAATGAGCAGGCTTCAAGCCTAGAGTATGAAACTTGTGGCTAGGGATTAGGGTATAGATGTTTTGGGCAGCGGCACAGCGCCAGTTAAAGTGTATATATGGGTTGAGGGATTCGGGCCCAATTCCCAGAAAGCGTTGACGTCTGTTGTGGCCCAGCGGAGGTCTGCGAATTGAGCTGACACTGCCGCAGCAGACTGTGCCATCCAAAAGTTGCTCTATTAATGGGTTTCAATTTACCTGTGCCGCGGTTGGGGGTCGGGGGGTTGTCCATCATCGGCTCCTGCTACATAAGGTGCGTTAATGTGCGTGTTGTATTACTACATAATGCGGCCGCAGTCCAGTCTTTCGCTGTGCGAGCTCATTGGTTCCAGCGTCGTTGGTTTTTGACGTGAGGCTGAAGAAGGCTTGTGAAGTGCAACCGGCTCGAAGATCCAAGTTCGCATCTTCAGCGACCACATTGGCTTTCCTTTTCTGAGACCAGCTCATTCGCATCTTCTACAGCTAGGTCTCGGGTTCAGAAACACTCAAGGTCCATGTCCTCTGTCGTGTTTTTGGCTTGAAGGGCTTACTTTGCAGTGCTAAAGGTGTTTTAGATAGTGTCGGGCATTCAAGACTTAGGTCGTCTGTCAAAGGCTTTGTTCCTTGATTGGGGGTTTGGGGCTCCAAGACGATGCCTGCCTAAGCACTATCCATTGACAAACACTCCGAAAGCCGTCTAAACTGAAATCGTCTGGTAAGCCCGACAAGACCTAAACCCTGGAACGTCGTAAACTGTGAGTCTTCGAAGTTGAGTGTGCTTGTGGGCCGTTTCCCCAGAGCCGGTGTATGTCGCCTTCGGTCCGCTTTACCATGGAAACTGCACAAGTGTGTGGGCCGCTTGAGCTTAGGGTTGTTAGGGCTTTTCAGGATTCAGTGCATTATGAGGTCTGGGGTTTGGTTTTCGGCTTATACAGTTGAAGTTGAAGCATAACGTCTTGTTGGAACTGAGGTCAAGGCAGGATGGGTATATATGTATATGTTTATACACACACTAGCAGCTAGCAACACGCTGGGGCTTGGGGGCTACCCGTGTGTTTCAGCACCCTGTATATAGTACATGCCTTGCTTGGCATCGTTATCCTTGGTGTTGGCGTTCCTTGGCTTGTCCTCCTGCTCTCCAAGTCTAGAACACTGCGATTGCTTTCTTGTGTGTCTCATCAAGTCCTACGCCTGAAACCTTCTGCCTCGAAGCAAATTATCCTCGACGCCATCTTCGAGCCCTTCCTAGAACATTTGGGGCTTCGGTGTTTACAGGGTATCAGGTGCCGCAAGGGTCTTACAAGGGGTGTCTAGTAGTATAGATTATAGGTGCTCACGAGCACCTAGTGTTATGAAAGGGGGCATTGCAAGGATGTGGTAGGCTTTCCAGGGTGTCACGTTCAAGGTTCAGGATGGAAGCTGCCACATCTTTGAGGTTCCTCATTAACACCTTACCGGGAAAACTTTTTCATCCACCCTCACTAGAAGCCTTCGGTAGCTAGCTCGAATCCCTTATATATATATACACATATATACCTATATATATATATATATATGTATATATATATATATGTATATATATATATATATATACATACACATTCATTAGAAGGTGTTCCATCTGTAATTTGTGCACGTGTGAAGTAGCATGTTGTGTGGTGACGTTGTGGCACAAGTGCTCTAACAGGAAAAGTGCGTAGCTGCCTAATGGTATTGCGCTGCTTGTTAACACTTGGACGGGTATATACAACAGTGCGTGTGTGCAGTGGTTTACAACAACTATAGGTTATCAGCCGTATAGCCTACGGCCTGGTCACAACTGGTTGGTTACAATACAATCAATCAGCGCATGAGCGAACCGGAACTTATTCCTGCAAGTATGGATACAGTTACAAGCACCGTGAACCCTTTACAGCCCCCGGTCACGGGTGGCCATACAGGGAGCGGCGCCCCCGGCTTAGTTTTCCCGGCACCAGCCTCAGTCCAACAATTCAACGTCATCGCACCACAGTATAGTGTTGAAGTACACGTTAACCAGATCAGACTGGAAGTCGGAGAACTAGAGGCTCAGGCAGAAGCAAGACACAGGCAACACATGCTGACCTATCAAGAAGCATCCGCAATTCACACAGCCGACTTGGAGCACAGAGCGGAACGAAACCACCTCGAAGTGGTGGCAGAATTGCAAGCAGCCTTGGCACAAAGCGAGTTCAAGGCGGCAAATCGCGAAAGGCTCCTATTGTCGGAAATGACTTTAAGTCAGGCGCATTCCTATGACGAAGATCAAAGGTTGCGTCAAGAACTAGCGGAACTTCAACAAAGCCGAATCACAGACGCATTGGATCAACATTTGGCGGAATCACGCTTTGCACAGAACCTCGAAGAACAGGCGAGACGGCACGTCGAGAATTCTCAGGAAGTCATGGTTGAACAGTTCCAAGCACACTTTGAGTTGTTTAGGAACAGGCAGAAAGAAGAGTATGAGGCGTCCCTTGCTGTATGTAGGGAACAGAATGAAGAGCTTCAGGACAGGTTGGATTCTGCGGAAACTGCACTAGAGAAGGTCTTGGATCAGTACAACCCAGCTACTCCAAAGAGTCAGCCAGTGCCTGCTCCAAGCACCCCTGCAGGTCCCTCTGTTGTCCCCAAAGCTCCTCAAGCGCCCATGTTCTCAATGCCGAACGTAATCCCCCAGGGTGCCAGATGTCTGTTCGAGTCAATGAATCCAGGAGGTTTGAATGCTCAGTCCATTCCGTCTGCAACAGCATCTTCAATCCCCAAGGCAGGACCTTCCCAGGCAGCGCCAGGAACAGCGGCCCCTCCAGCGGCCGATTCCGGCACGCCAGGGACGGACGCTTTCAACACAGGTCTCCTAGAGACCCAAATGGCAATCCTTCAAAGCCTAACAAACATAAGGGGAGAGAGCAAAGTCGATGCTGACAGACCCAAAGTGAAAGAAGCAGAGTCCATCAACCTCCCGGAATTCCCAAGTCCAGAGTCGTATCGTTCATGGAAAACGGCAGCTAGGGAAGCGGTCAGGGCAGCATCAGATTCTCCTGATGAGGCGTTTAAATGGGTGATGAAGGCCTACGACAAAGACGCATCGCAGGAATCCCTTCGAGACCCTGAGAAATTCCTCACCCTTGACACGAAACTTCTTGCTGCACTCACCAAAGTCGCTAGGGGAGAACTCTCCCGAGAAATCCTCATTTTTAAGGAGACAGAAGCGGCGAAATTCAGGGCGGTACGAGGACGACAGGTGCTCTACCTCTTCGATCAGTACTTCAAGACGAACGAGGAGGTTGGCTCACTGTACTCCGTGGAGGACCTGCTGAAAGTAAGGTTAATCAATGACGACCTTTCAGTGTTCATTAGCAACTGGGAATCTGTCATGTCTGGACTTAGCCACACACCGGACGAAACGACCCTAAGAGACATTTTCCTTCGTGAACTCAGGCAGTCCAAGAGGCTAAAGTACGATCTTGAGATTTACGACAGGGCATCAGAGGGCACGGATCAGCACACGTACAGGTTTCTTGTGAAGTCACTTAAGGATCTTTTGACCCGAGAGCGCAAACGCAAGAACCGTGACCGCATCGCAAGATCTCACGGAGATAAGTACGGTGCCCCTGCCTCAAAGTCTCCTGGCCGAACTTCCAGCCCCTCTTCAAGAGGAGGCCGTGGCAGATCGCAGAGCCCAAGGCCAAGATCACCCAGCAAAGGTAGATCCCAGTCTCCCAGCAAGCCTAGGACACCTAGCCCAAAGGGAGTATGCTACGATTTCCTCAAAGGAACTTGCAAGCGAGGCAATAACTGCCCTTTCCTTCACAAGAAAAGATCATTGTCCCCCAAAGGCGACAAACAAAAGAAGAAAATCAACGTGACATGCAAGTTCTGGAAAGAAGGCAACTGCAACAAGGGTGATAAATGTCGGTTCCAACATAAGGACATAGAGAAGCCGTCAGCTCCCGCACCCAAGTCCGAAGCCGCCCCGGCAGCTCCAAAGCCAGGGTCACCTAGGGCCAACTCCCCTGCCCCGCGCAGAGGGAGAAGTCCCCGGGCCAAGTCAAGTGACAAGGCTCCAAAGACGGCCGCATGCGCCATCGCGTTCGAGAATACAGCGGATCTTGAGATCTCGCCAAAGCTCGCTATGGCAGCGTCACATGACGAGGACTACTGGGAGGTAGACTTCACCGGCAACAAAATCATCCGCCATCACAAGAAGTACCGAACAGATTGGTATGTTCCTGACAATTCATGTCCTGTGAACCCCAAGAAGCTTAGGAGCCAAGCCAAGCTCGAGCAGGTTTTGCCGGTCTCCCCTTTTGTTGGAAACAAGATCTACAACTGGAGGAAGACCCCAACCAAAGGACCCGGCAGCACATGGGTAGGAAAGACGATTTTCTACATGCAAGAACTCCCTAAGGTGAGTTTCGACAGCACAGTAGAAATGATTGCCATCGAACCGGAAGGAAAGCAGAGAAAGCATGCCTACCTTCCCAGGGTTTATGACGAAGTCTATCCCACTGTCGAGACATGTCCACGCTCGAATCCTAAGGATCTGAAGAGGGCTCTTGTGTGGGCAAAGCAGTTTGCCACCATGATCGAATGCATGATTCACGACACGCCTGCGGGATGCGGGTATGAATGCATGGAGGAAGGCTTCCTCTGCGAGGAGTGCGAGCGACTTGCGCGTCCGTCATGTGCAGGTCTGGTCCCCGGCTTAGAATTCCTAGCGGATACCGGAAGTGAAGA